ACACACACACACACACACACACACACACACACACATATATATGTATATATATATATATATATATATATATATATATATATATATATATATATATATATATATGGACTAAGTAACAAAATGGACACTGAAACTCCATACTGATAATTGTACCTGCTCGAACACATTTTACTATCTAAACAGAATAATAAATCCCTCTGTCCTTGTCTAACTTCCAGGCACTAAATGTGAGTGGAACTGGCAGAAACGTAACCCGTGGCAGACAGTAGATAAGCGAGGGAAAGTAGTTTAGCCGCGATTTAAAAATACAAATAAGAATTGTCATTTGCTGTCTAGTTAGTTGTGTTTGTGGTGAAGATTTAAAAACTGTGTTAGATTTTCAATTTTACGATTTGAAAAAAAAACAAAAACATTATGCCATCGTACCGGAATTTTGATCCTAGTGAAAGTTTTTGTTAGACGACATCTTTTTCACGTTTTATTGCGAAGATTTAAGGTCAAAAAGGGAAATGGCCGTATAGTGTGCATACCTGTGGCGCAATAGAGCGAATAAAATAAATTTGTGAACACAACACCAAGTTTTTCTTTCACTAATGTAAAAAGTAGTACAAAAAATATCTCATGAGAGTCCCAGAGTGTGTGCCCGATGTATGATAACCTTGTCTTACAAATGCACATATGTGACTGAATCCCACGCCCTATGATGCTCAAAAGCGACAACCAAAGAAGGCAAAATATGTTACTATATTGCTGAAGACTGAAGCTGCATGAGATCAGCGCAGACACGGAAATCCAGTAAAGGCACATGTTTTCTCGGGGAATCGGGTTGCGCAAGGCGGCCGCTCGGGGATAGATAGGGAATATATGTACCATATCTATACTGATTAGTTTATACGCAATCGTCAGAGTACGGAATAAAGTGGTGAATATGATATATATAGCTCCAGACATGTAAAATGAGTTTGTTTTGCAGTTCCGTCGCCCCGGCAATATTTGACAGAAAAGGGAATTCGTTTGCCGCCTTGAGAAAAATAATTAAAACGCACGAAAGAATCATAATTTCAGCTACATAATACGAAGAAATCCTAGAAATGAAATAGATATAATATAAAGTAGACTCAAATTCTAAACTTTTCCACCCATCAATCAGGACGCATATTTCCGAATTAGAACTCAGGCGAGAGCGGCATGTTTAGGGGGAAGCCTACGTGTTGTGCAGAGAACAGCTGTTATCGAGGTGCTCCCACGACGCGACTTCTCTCCTCGAAAATGCTAAAATTACGAACGTCGCAATTAGTTCTCTCGCTTCATGTGGTAAGTCTGGGATTCACGGGCGTTTGCTAGTTCTTTTTATGTACGAGAAAGGGCTGTGCCTGTTGTAATGTGTGAGAATAGCGGTACTTGTGTGTACGAGGGTGGTTCGAGGCGCCGCTCTCTCGGACACTTCCAACCTCGGGATCCACATGACATGGAACTATGAGGGCGGGATTGTTATGTATATCTCATGACAGCAGATCCGCTTTAGTCATTTTAATCCTTTGCATTGTTTACCTCACTCTTAGTATGATGGGTTTGCTTACAACAAGAGAAAACCGTTTCATTACATTGGGATATGTTCAAGTTCATTGCACATCAGTTTAGGAAATGCAAGTGCCCAACTCTATAGCTATATGCATATAAATTATGATTCTTGTTTGATATGCCTTTTTTCTTTTCTTTTTTTGTCCTTGAGTGACTGAATCACCAATTATAGTTTTTTCCCACAAATAATATCTTTAATTATTAATTTATATTGATGTGATCAAAATAAATCCTTTCCTTTTCAAACTTATATTTTCAATAGAGGACCCATTAGGGAATCAAAAGTCAGTTTTTGGTATTAGTATGGGTGCTCTTACCTCATTTTTGACAGCAAATTTCTATGAAACTCATCAATTTAAAGCACTTTTTCTCAACACAGTATCTCCACAAATGAATAATAATGGAGATGGTCCCATAGATGAACTTGTAAGCCTGCTGGTTTTTTTTTTTGTTTTTTTTCTTCTAAGTTCTGGTCCCAAGAGTTACTATAGGGTAGGGTGGGGAAGGGCCCACTGTGTTGGTGGAGTGTGTGATGTCATGCATCAATCACCTTTGAATGCATGATTCACGGACGAATTGAATTTAAGAAATGTTAGCCCTTTCCCGACAAGTCACGCCGATAGGTGTGAAAACAAACCTTTTGAAATGTGGCGTGCATCTGTACTCCGTGGCGGCGATCTAGTGATTCGGCTCAATGCTCAAAATTGGTGTGCTGCCATTGATCGCCAGAGTTTTTATTTTTATTTTTTTATTTATTTATTTATTTTTTTAACCCGTCACCAAGGGTTAAGTATCCAGTAATACTTAATTGTTATGGAAAACTGTTTGAGAGAAAAATTTTGGGCAATATGTAGTATAAGGTAGTGGCAGAGTTGGGTAATAACACCTACATGAAAGGATGAAACAATGGAAACCAAGAGAAAGTTCTTCTATGGCAATATGTGTGCAAAGGCTTCCCAAGGATGCTATACAGAAAAGAAAAGAGAAGATCCCCCAATTTTGGCTAAGTCGCTCATCTTGTTTACATTGCAAGGGTGAATTCTAGATGCAAATAGGTGTGTCCAGGGGTCCAGGGGGCATAGCCCCCTGACTTGCCATATATATAACCACGGGGCCCAGGGGGCTATCAGGATTATCAAATCAAATTGTCAATGGAAATGGTGATCATATCTCCTCAACGATTTGTTTGCACAAGGAACAATGCCTATAATCGTTGAAAGCAGTGGATTTCATGCAGAAAAATATCAACATTGTTTCGAAAGTAACCCACTACCGTCTTCTACATATTGACCAAAATTTTTGGATGCCTTTTGCAATGGATGTGTTGTCACCAGGATCTTGGCAACAAAGCAATTTTGCAAGGAAAACTCTCATACCCTGGACTTTTTAACCCCTTACTGACAGGTGAAGAAAAAAAGAAAAAGAAAAGAAAACTCCACGCTCTGGAGATAAATGGCAACACACCAACTTTGAGCGCAGGAGTTTGGTACATCGAGCCGAACCACTGGCTCATAACACTTTGGCGCATTGCTGCGGCATACAGCCACACTCCACAGATTGAGCGAGTTGTTATGACACCTCAGCACATGACCTGTTGGGAAGGGGTTAAGGAAGGATGATGTGCTTCCTTTGCAAAGTCGTGCCCAAAATGCCAGAAACTCTGTAAATTAAGTGAGGAGAGACTTGTGGCGCTGCTATACAGGAATCAAAATCCCCTTGAAATAAGGATTTACTTGTGTAATGGTTTTACAAGTAGTACATATATTCTTTGATCATTCGCCAGCTGTGTCTTGGGTCATGACATGAACATTTACCGTGAAGATAACTGCCATAGGTGTTGGGTAAAAGTCATGTTCCATTCATGTTTCTGCAGATCTCTTGCTTTTAGTTTGTCTCTATCTTACCGGGAATATGAAGTGAAGACTTGTTGTCCCTGGCAGAAGTTTGGGGTCGGCATCCATCTAAAAAGGGGGTTAGAGGGGGACAAAGGCCCCTGATAAGAGAAATAGTGAGGAAACCTTAAATGTGAAATGCACGTGGGAATGCCATGATTGCGTTGTTGAAAAAAATCATAGGAATAGTGATTTGTGGTTGAAATGAAGGTTGAAAATGTGCAAGACAATGAAATCAACTAGAAAAATTTGTTGTTTTGTTGTAGTTTTTGTGACTAACTTGGTATAAGGTTCTCCTTTGTACTTTCCTTGCCTCATTTCAAACTTAATGCTGTTAGCTAGAACTAACTACTGGATTTTAATAGATTTTGTGGTGACTGAAAATTAGATTAGTTGAGTTGGTGTTCTTCCAGGCATGTGTCATGGATGGTACATTCCTCATTTGTTTATTGATGGTAATAATGCTAGAGCCCCTTCCTAAATACCCTCTGAGTCTCATCACCCAACAAGAGCTTTGGCCATTTGTGGAGAGTCATTCCTGTCACCCAGTCTGCAACCAAAAATTTCCTGACAGCATATTCCTGTCACCCCAGTCCTGAGTCAAAATTTCTTCCCATCACTTGGCCCTCAGCCAAATTTTTTCATGACACTTGGATCCAAGACATTAAGACGGGTCTGGAGGTGTCTCACACTTATAAAATCTGTCTTTAACCATTTTCTCTGGAAAGCTTAAAAGATGTGTGTTGCTTGTGTACAGGGCACTCACCCATGAGCGGTAACTTTGAATGTGTTGTCCTGAGTCTCTTTTCTAATACAGTTTCTTTCTCTCTCTCTTACACACACACACACACAATGCTGAAAGAAAGGAAAAATTAAGTGAAGTCTCAAGTTCATTTCATGGTAAACTAAGTTAAACACTCTCTCCCTCCCTCCCTCCCTCCCTCCTCCCATCCCATCCCTTCCCATCCCATCCCATCCCATCCCTGGTGGAGGGGTAAGGGATGAAGTAAAGGATAGGGGGACATGGAGGAGAAGGGTAAGACCACAGAGGGAGAAACTGTGACGTAGACTCTCCCAATGATAGTTTCTCATTTTAGGTAGAGAGTAGGTCATAGCCTAGCTTATTTATGTGATGGGTGAGGAGAATGGTGGGTGGAGGTATAGAATTTCTAAGGCAATACACAATCAAAAAAAGAGAAAAAAGAAAAGAAAAAGAAAGCTCAGGCTCTTTTGTTTTGCTATGGAAAGTGGCTCAGTTAAAACAGTTGGGACACTTTGGGAAAAGGGAACTTGGGTACTCTACACTTGCTGGTATATAGGAAGGCCTGAGTAAAACATACCTTCACAAATCATATTGAATTGAATTGAACGGTGGGCCTAATACTGGACACGTTTGTATTTTTTCTGTGTCCTGTAGAAAAAACATTTGCAAATATTTGTTTTGCAATCTTCTGTTTACTACTAATGTTAGGTTTCAGTAATAAAATCAATAGAAATAACAGTTAAGACACTCAGTGCAAGTTCATCTAGAAGGAATTATAAGTATTATGATTTACTGATATGAGCTTTGCAGACATAAATCTTGTTATTTCCTTTCCTGAAATATTCTAAACACAAGCAATATATTTGGTAATTAGCCCGTTATAAAATGATAATAGTAACTTTTGTCCTGACATGCAAGTCAGTATGATGAGCTGTTATCATTAATCAGGAAAATGTAGTGTTCACCCTATTATTGTTTAGTTAATTGTCTCCACACTCAGTCCATTAGTAGAACTGGTGACCTTACCTGATTTCACCTTTCCTTGAGTTTGCAGGATTTAAAAAAAATTAATGCTATCAATATTGATGTTGTTTTTATTACCATAGATATTATAATTGTTATGGTGTTATTGACATTACTATCAGCAATATATGATACCAAAGAATATTTTTGAAAATCAAGGAAAAGGGTAACCAGATGAGACAGGTAATACTATTAGTTGGCTCATTGCTGACTTAGCACTTATGGAGCCATCCATGCGTAAAGAGAATTAATAAACTAAACTGGGACGGTATGCATACATACCATCCCAGGTGGCATCAGGTTAATGCTTATGATTATCAGCAAGGGTATTACTTCTCGTTTTGTAAAAGAACATCAACACCTTTCACCCATCACTCCTGCATCACTGTCCTGTTTTAGTTGCTTTTTCAATTGTATTTTAATGTTTCAGATGTGACACTTCTTAGATGACCCTTGACATGCACATATACACACAAAGTCTTTGTGTTATCTTTATTCCTTTATTATTAATGTTGCTCCAATTGTTTCACAAACTTATTCTGATTCTATGGCAGACCTACAGTAGTCCTTTCCTAGATCCTGTATTTTTTTCATGGGCAGTGATGAGGAATAGTCTGTTATCTTTTTAGAAAATTGTTGAATATTATGCCAGCCAAGATGCACAAAGCCTGTTGGAATGTATTTGCTGTGGAACTAAAACAAGAAGCAAGAAGGCTAGAGGTGGCTCAGGGACCATGGCTTAGTCTGGCTAGTAAAGCACAAGCTAAACTTGAATCTGTGGGAAATTTGGGGTTTGGCTGGGGAAGGAGAGTTGAACATAGTTAAACATCACCCAAAATAAAGGTGATATCTTCTTCATGCAACATGCAAATGTAAAATATGTTGAAATCACCTGCATTTCATGCCTCTGTATATAATGGTTCTATGGTGAAAACAACAGCAAACATCCTCCAGATGTGGTAGGCACGAATATTAAGTTGCCAAATGAGAAACCGCTTGGGTTAAGTTAATTTTTGGTAGACATAAAATATATGACTGTTACAATATTATTTTTC